TAAAAAGCGTCTCACGGCCTTTTTGTCGCGTGGTGCAGGAAATTGCGCTACGGCGTCAATTTTGGCCAGGCCAGGTCGAACACCCTCGTGATTATCTGCGTGAAGGTGTTTTGCTGTTTTCCTTCATGGCCGCTCAATCGCCGTGGTTCCGTATTGCAAGTCCCGTTCGGGGAAAATGCCCGGTGTTCCTTCTCACCAATTCCCAAACAATACTGAGCTGTGCGGCAAGTGACAACAGAATATTGCGAGAGACAACCTCATCATCAACGACAAGTCTGCATCGGCAGTCATATGCAGCAAACACTTGCGCGATGAAGACTGTGTGCCTGGGTTCCACATCAGAAAACTTATTCCTGACTGGGCGCACGCCTACTCTTTTCAAGGACTATCCTTCTTACTTGATTTCAAGTGCATAGAAGCCTCGCAAAGATCCTGCTTCACGAGTTTGGCCCCTACGTCGAACATCAAGGAAGCGAAAAGCGGAGACCAACAAAACAGATCTGGATGTTGCAACTTCACAAGACGCTTTCACTGAACAAGAAGCAGCAAGTGTTTTCACGCAAACAATAAACAGCAACGCTCATCAGGCTTGTCGATACCAGACTATGATAGGACGATTGCGCTCCCAAGTGCCGCACCATCGCGCAAAATGCGAGAAAGTGCAGCGATTGCTGGAAGAAAAAAATGTGTCCCGATCTTATCATGAAAGCAAGCACCACGCATTCGTTAACAAAATGGCAGCAGATGCACAGAAAGGAGAGAAAAAGACCGTGTTTCTTTTGCATCAAGTAGGATGTGACAGAAGAAAGCATTCAGTGTACCCAGACGATTTTGTAAGGGGTTTGTGTGAGGGGGGGGGGGGGTATACCGATTTCTGTCACAAAAAGGCTACGATCATGCGCGCACTTCAGGGCTTGTGACACTGCCAGCAAAGTGCACTCTTCAGAGGTGTATAGGTTCAAGCCCAGCTTCATCAGGTATGAGCAATGCCATAAACCATTTGTGCATCTTCATTGATTAAGCAACTTGTTTTTTAACGCGCCGTGAGTGCAGAAGCTCGCCCGAACTCATGTGTTCGTGCGCTGTACGAAGCGGCAGAAGATGGCAGGGTCACAACGCCCTCCTCAAAGGAGCGGCGAGAGGCATGTACTACGCCCGTTGCGAAGGCCGTAAGAAGGGAGCTTGCAGGTGCAGTCTAGCCCGTACGTGTTCAAACCTAGTACCATTTTAAGTGATGCATCTTCTGACAACCATGATTCAGCGAAACATCTACACCTGACTTCCCACCACTTTCCTCGTCTCTTTTTATTCATGAAACACTTGTTCCCTCTTCACTCACACAATTTGTCATGGCTCCTTCATATACACAGTTACCCTCTCCCCCTCCATTGTTAGGATAGAGGGTGTGAAGTGTAGTTCAAGAAAATAAGTTGAAGACAAGTCCACTTATCGAAACACAAGCTTTTATCTTCCCCTTCCTGCCATTTTTTGGATCTGTGTTGCTCCTAGCAACACCTGCTTTGGTAACCAGTTTTACTGTTCTAGAACATGCTCTGAAACAGCCTAAGCTAGTAGCGTCAATTAAAAGCACATTCCCCGCTTCACAACATGTGCTGTCAAGTGTGGCTTGCAACGTGCACGAGTTGTTTCATGCACAATGTTGGTTGCCACTCAGAGCTACGGGTATTTTCCTTGTAGGAGCACTGCAGCACATGATCTGTGAAAGCCAGCTTACAAAGACTAAGCTTACGTTAGTCTCTTGAAAGTGGTCCTCACTGAACACAAATGCATTGCTAGGAGTTCGTTTTTATAATAAAAGTATCAATGCCCCAGAACATTTTGTCAAATCTGGCCCTGAGGCATGTGTGTGGTTGATTCCTGCAACTTCAGAAAACCTGAGAAAAGTAGCCATATACTTGGGAGTGGAGGAGTCCACTGCGAAATTACTTGTTCACTGCACACTACACGTGCTTTATCAATAATTGTGAGGCAGGCATAAGACACGGGCCAATAAACTTTGCCCGGCGAGCTTGTGGGCCCAAAGTTTCACTGGTGCAGTTAGGAAGGCCATGCCTAGCCGCATCAGCATTCCCTGACTTTTGCATGTGGCAGTGATGAAAGTAGTGTATGGACTAATTATTTCTCACAGTACCGTATTTACTCGATTCTACCGCGCCCTTGATTGTAACGCGCACCCGATTTCCTCCGGGAAAAAAAAAAACGTAAGACATCGATTGCAACGCGCACCCATTTTTCTCGCTGGCCCACACGATCACACCACTCGAAAAAACGACTCCTTTCGGGAGCGTCTTCCATTTAAATATGAGGTACGGGCGAAGCTTGTGCCCATCTGACGTGTAACAGAGCATCGCCGTCACTGTAGTTTTACCGTGGACCAATGTCAGCACGTGAACTTGCTTCGCCCCCTTCTTCTCGACGGTTGTGGTGCCAGGCATGTCGAAGTAAAGAGGCGTCTGATCGGCATTCCCGATTTCCCCAAGCAGGTAGCCGTTGTTGCGCCGCAAGTTTAGGACGAACCTCTGAAAACTGTGAAGTTTTTCATCGTACTCCTCTGCAAAACTTTTCGCATATGCATGTTCCCCTTCGAAAGGAAAAGCCTTTCCTCTTCATAAAGTTAGTTAGCCAGCACCTGCTCGCTTTAAACTGGCTCCGCATTAGACCTTTTTCTAAGATTGCATAGCGCGCACTTGGAGCAGTTCTGTCATTACGGGCCGCTGTGCCGCTCGCTGCTCAAGCACATACTCACCGAGCAGCTCTTTAATTTGCGGAAACCGACCCTGCTGTGGTCCACTGAAGCCTTTGCGTGAAGCTTTGCTGTCGACAATCTTCTGCTTTTATTTCCGCCGGTCCCGCACGCACGTTTCGGGAACTCCGAACGACCGCGATGCGGCCCGATTTCCGCCCGTTTCTGCACACGCGATGACTTTTCTTTTAAAAGCGGCATTGTGGTGCACTCGAGTTTTTGGAGTCGGCCCTTCCACGCCGTCGATGCTAATGCACTACTAGATGACGAACTCCTCAGCACACGCACGAAGTGCCGCACATGGGAAACACATAGGCTGAAATGGCCGACGCGCCATGCCGACGCACATAGGAGGCGGCCATTTTGGATTTGCCGATGGCAATAGATTGACCGTAATTTTTTGTTCGTACTCGATTCTAACGCGTATGCGATTTATGAACTCGCTTAACCGGAAAAAAGGTGCGCGTTAGATTCGAGTAATTACGGTATGTCTGAGATCCACGGTTTTCGAACTTGGCACTACCAGTGCCTCCTAAACTATGCTTAGGACGTGAGCCGCAGAAGCACTGTCTACCCTTTCCGTTATCCTTCTTTCCACCCGGAACAGTTGCTGGAGCCTTTCATGCCGACTCCTTGTAACCTGCAGTGGTGCCGTAAGTAACGCGAACACTCGATACGACGCGCTTCGGTGCAAAAAATGCCAGTGTTGTCAAACCGGAGTGCGACGAAACACATCTTGAACCCACTAGTGACGTCATGTTATAAACGAGTTTAAAATGGCGCTGTGCAAATAAGCAGACATTGAGAGAAATAAACGCCTACAACGCCCGTTCTTGGGGAGCTTTTTCTGCCTTGATTTTATGTGTTCATTGGTCTCAAACCCGTTAGCGACGTCATGTCATAAGCGAGTTTAAAATAGCACAGTGCAAATAAGCAGACATTAAGAGAAATAAATGCCTGCAATGCCCATTCTTGGGGATTTTTTGTTATTATTTCATGCGTTCATCTTGCCTGGAAATACAATTTTGCTGCATGCCCAAATGCTCATTGAGCCTCAGAAAAAGAGTTGCAGATACCTTCAAAGAGCAGTTTGCATGACCAGTAACTCAAGGCAATTTTAAGGGATGACTGGGCGCCAGCATGTAACCCTGTAGTATGCAGTAAGGGGGAAGCGACTGGAATGCTGCTGCAAAGCTGCTTAAAAGATAAGTTCTGGCACGAAATGTGCTTTAGCTTTAGCTGAACTTGCTAGACTGGTGCTTTTCTAGTGAATGCCGTGAACACACCATCAAACGCCCCCACAAAGCAGCCAGATGCTCTGCTGCACCAACGTAATGTTGCCAACACAGTCGCTCTTGCCGGCTGTGGTGGTACAGTCGCTAGCAGCACCACATGTTGCCCGTTTGAAATGCATGGCAGCGTGTGTCTCATGGCAAAGCTGGCGACGTCCCGGTCATAGTTTTTTTCTAGGTGTTGGCACTACACAGGTGCTTCATAAGATTTCAGGCTACTACTAATGACATTAAGAAATTATCAAAATAAACAAGATAAAAAGTGTGCCATGCCAAAAAAGCAGTGTCGTGAAAGATTCGTTCAAATGGGTGCATGTGCACCAATTTCAGCAGGTGACATTTTACTTCTCCCAGAAGTGCATCTTTCATATCAAAATTTGAAGTTAAACTTGCTTAGTTGAGTATGTTTACATTAGTAGAAGTGTTGTATGCTGTGATAATTTCCAGAAGCGTGTCGAGCTTAAGTGCCGCGCTTTATTTATGTCAGCTATCAGCCAATAATAGCAGCAATCTTCTAAATAATCATAGAGTAGCCACTGTGAGTTTCAAAAGCAGCGTAGACAGGAATGAAGTAAGGGCATATAAAAAAGCGACAACTCCATGTGCAATTCACAACTGCAAAATTTTGCTGTTTTTAGAAGCGCTTGCTGCCTGTAGAAATTGTTTTTTCACTAAGCCAAAGGGTTAGTTTAGAAGCCTTTTAAAGAACAGAAACAATGGATCAAAGACAAGATATGGGCAGACATTATAACAAAAAGGGTGGCAATTCAGCCACTGTATCAAGGAATGGCAAAAAAAAAAAAAAAAGAATGAAACAACATGGAATTTGGTTGCCTTTGTGACGGAAATATTATTGTCCTTATCATCTTTTATGTTTAGGCTTGTCTGCCACAAGATGACCTGTATTAGCAGAAACGCTGTGCAATGACTTATGATTCAAACAGGTGTCCATCTCGGAGCACAACGATGGCAGCTTTCTGTCGGCTGGGGAGATCCCTCTGCCACAAGTCTACTTCCTCATGGCCATGGTATTCTTCACCGTTGGCTGCTACTGGATCTACCTGCTCCGCCAGAGGAGGCATGTGGCTCTTTGTTTTTTTTAGTGGAAACAGACTGTAATACGTTTTTTAACATGGACAACTCCAAAGGCACATGTCCTGTGGGGGAGGCGATATCATTACGATCACGTAAGCATGCTTACTCCTAGAGTGCACCATGCGTCAGCATTCTTGGTTTCTCGATTTGCATGTCCAGTCTTTTTTAGCATGACTATAAGGAAGAAAATTTGCACAGTGGGGTTGTATGACTCTAAAATTCCCAGCAAGTGCCCTTACCTGTGTAAGCACACCTTGTCCTACCACCCTAACGATGATTTCCACAGTGTTTGTGACATGTCACAAGAAAATAATTGTTTGAAACCATGAAGAAGACACACGAACAGACGTGTGCTTGATCTGTTCGCGTGAAATCTCTTTGAAGTATTGCACAATTACTTTTCTGCGTAGAATGAACCAACTAGTGCCTGAAGATATTCTGACAGGTCACATTCACAGCAGTGAGCCAAACTGAAAGTAGTAGTTGCATATACGCGCACTATAAGCGGTACCGTGCTATAATTAAGACAACCTTTTCGGGCCGCAGTTGCGCAAAAAGTGTTGAGGATGTAGCTTCACGGATCCGAGAATCGAAGTACGCAATTCGTAGTGCTTACAATCATTTAAGTTCCTGGATGTTAAAAAAAAGTTTACGTCCAACAATCACTTGTGTTGCCAACAAAATGAATGTAAAAAAGAAAGAGCCTAAAAGAGGCCTGTAAAGGTGGTTTTACTGCAATGTAAAAGGACTAAGTCGTGAAAGCACTCATTCAAGTGAAATTAGCTTTGCCGCGAAGCCCTTCTTCAAATTTGAAGAGGTCCTGCAACACTTATTGAGCATGGTCAGAAAAGGCTGCTGATCTGTATTCGAGGCTACTGAGAACACGCGAGGCAAGTAATATAGTGCAGCATGCGACCTGTAAAATTGCTTTTTTTTCTCGGCAAATGGTACTACAAGCTCAAAAATCACTTGTCACAGCCAAGAAGAAATATACGGATCTGGTCACAGCCATTGAGCCGCGTATCCGAAGAAAAAAAAGGGGGGGTGTGCTCAAGGTCACGAGGTGCACTTGGCGTATTTTCTTTCGCCGTGCCATTTCTCCCTGCTTAGCTTCCTGCTATTTCGTCGGCACGAGAAGAGAAAATGCAATTGCAGCGTACCACAAATTTTTTGAACTCTGCTCTTACTGGACTGATTCTAGAAACTTTAGGGCGGTAAATTTGTGAGGCAACAAGCATGTTTACCGGCTCCATGGTTACTTGAAAAAGTATTGCAAGGCCCCTTTAAAGATCATGTTGCCCTCAAATCAATTCTTAATTTTATTAATCTTGTTATGATGGCTTATATGCTCCAAGAATAATAAATCTTAAAATCTTAAGTATTTTACAGGTTATCACTCGCATCCTCCCAAAACTACTACTCAAGTTGTTTTGACTTCCTTTGAACGAAAAAAAAAGGCATTTGCATACAGTCCCATTTCAATTCAAAAGAAATATTGTGCAGGCTAGTTAAGTCATGATGAGTATTCCCCTCTTTTTTATATAGCATACATATCATTCGAATTTGATTTGAAATTATTCGATCAAAATCATTATTCGCTTCGAACCTAAAATTCACTATTCACACATGTCTATGTACCTGTGAGTACGTTTCATGCATCATTTGTGCGTGAGAAATGCGGGGCACGTTTCGATCTGCTCTCCATTCTACGCGTGACCTTCCAATTTGTTGCTATCGCGTTCATTGCTTCGTATTTGCAGCAAACCTGTGACTTTTTTTGACAAGCCGACTTGACGGGTCGGAGACCACAGCAGGACCAAAGAACCAGGCGAAAAGTGCATGTTGCAGTGTCGATTGTACAAATGCTGTTTGTCCTCTGGAGAAGTCAGAAGTCGAGTACAGGTGATTTCTTGCGCACGGCCATCCCAAGTGATAGTGTCAGTGGCATATTCAGTGGTCAGTACTGTGGTAGACGGGATGACTGTATCTAGAGCCAATGTTGGTTCTTGGCCGAACTACAAAAAAAATGGAGAGTAACCGGTAGGGTCATGGCTCGAAGAGTTGTATGCAAATCTCACGTATGGTAAAACAAGATCCCAGTTCGAGTAGTTTGAAGACACATACTTAGCGAGCATGTCTGTAAGTGTTCAATTTGGGCGTTCCGGGAGTCCATTTGTCTGCAGATGGTATGACGTATTGAGCTTGTGCCTCATTTCACATTACTGCAAGGTGTAGGCTGTGACCTTCGATAGAAAGCTGTGACCACGGTCTGTAAGCAGCTGGCATGGAGCTCCATGTTTTAAAATCACGTCATGTAGGAGAAAGTCGGCGCCATTCGTGGTACAGCTTGTTGGAAGAGTTCTTGGGATGGCGTAGCGCGTGGCGTAGTCGGTGGCCACCTGTGGCCAGAGGAAGACAAGGCGAAAGGGCCTAGTAAGTATAAGCCAAGGCGGAAGAACGCTTCTGAGGGAATGTCCAGTGGTTGAAGGCGCCCGGCGGGAAGCATCGATGGTGTCTTGCGGTGCTGCCATTTCTCACAAGCCGCAACGTATCTTTTTTGATATGTGGGGTTTAACATCCCAAAACCACCATATGATTATGAGAGACGCCGTAGTGGAGGGCTCCGGAAATTTTGACCACCTGGGGTTCTTTAACGTGCACCCAAATCTGAGCACACAGGCCTATAACATTTCCGCCTCCATCGGAAATGCAGCCGGGATTCGATCCCACGACCTGCGGGTCAGCAGCTGAGTACATTAGCCACTAGACCACCGCGGCGGGGCAATGTATCTTCTTACTGATCATGTAAGCACAAGCCAAAAGAAGCATCGTCTGATCCAGTCGTAAGTGCTTGACACACCAAGGTGATTGGCATTAGGAATATCGTGAAATTCATCTAGAACGGTCAAGCGAGGGTGTTTTGGAATGACAAGCAGCAGGGCTAAAAATTTCGGCAGTATAGTACATCATCAAGGAGTATGAATCAGTGAAGGCACGTTGATTCAAGACGTTCGATTATAGCATGCAAGGACGCACCATGGCGTTGCTCGTCACCAATGCGGGCCAGTTGTGAAACTGAAAAGATGCAAGTGTCGATGTCGGTGTGAGAGATGGTACTCGATTCATCGATCCGGTAGCAGGACAGGGAGTCAGCATCCTGATGTAGCTGACCCGACTTGTACGTCACTGCATACTCCTGCAGTCGCAGAGCCCAGCGCCCAAGCCAGCCAATAGAATCTTTCAGTGATAAAAGCCAGCGCAGCGCATGGTTATTACAGTGAAATTCATGTCATATAAATATGGGTGGAACTTCGAGACTGTCCAATCAAGAGCAAGACACTCCCGCTCTATAATATAATAGTTGCGCTCGACAGCTGTGAGGAGGCAAGCGTAGGGGATAACTCGGTCGTGTGCCTGTTGGCATTGGGCTAGGATGGCTCTGATCCGTGACTACTAGCATCGGTTTGGACTTCTGCTGCAGTGAATGGGTCAAAGTGAGCCAATATAGGTGGAGTCATGAGGAGTGTGAAGAGGTGAGAAAAAGCGGCAGCTTGAGTGGAACTCCATGTAAAATTCATGTCTTTCTTCAAGTCAGTGAGTGATCAAGCGATGGTTGCAATATCTTTCACCAATCTTCTAAAATAGGAACAAAGTCCTACAAAACTCCTGACATCTTTGACTGACTGGGGTACAGGAAAGCTCGTGACTGCATGAATTTTCTTCGGGTCCGGCTGCACACCTGATGCATCGATAAGATAGCTCAACACTGATCTGCCGGCGGCTGAAGTGACACTTCGAAAATTTAATTGAAGGCCAGCAGTGTGGAAGATGTAAATATTACCTGGCAAACTCTGAAGGTGGGTCTCAAATGTAGGTGAAAACACAGGCACATCGTCCAGGTAACAACGACATGTTGACCATTTGAACCCCTGTAGAAGAGAGTCCATCATGCGTTTGAACGTGGCAGGGGTGTTGCATAACCTGGAACTGGTATAGGCCGTCAGGAGTTACAAATGCAGTCTTCTCTTGTTCTTTCTTCTCAACAGCAATCTGCCAATAGCCAGAACGCAGGTCCATGAAAGAAAAGTATCGCGCACTGCGGAGACAATCGAGAGTGTTGTCAATGCGGGGCAAAGGGTAAATGTCCTTTTTCATGATTTGATTCAGATGGCGATAGTCAACGCAGAAACACGACAAAGCATCTTTCTTTTTAACAAGCACAACGGGAGTCGCTCAAGGGTTCAAGGAAGGTTCAATAATCACTTTGTCTAGCATCTTGTTCACTTCTTGCTGAATCATCTTACGCTCTGCGGTAGACACCCGGTCGGTAGTGAATGGGCAGAGAATCACCCATGTTAATGCGCTGCTTTTAGAGTGAAGTCTGGCCCAGTGAACGGCTGTCGATGTCGAATATGTCATAGTATGATGCCCAAAGACGGCGTAGCGAGGCTGTTTGCTCTGGTTTGAGGTCTGAGGCGATCATGGAGTGTAAGGCCGCATCAAGGCTTGTGGCATCCTGCGGGTGGCATGGAAGATCGTAGCAGACGTGTGCGGCAAGAGCGGTGGTGTGATCGTCTATTAAGGAGGGCACACGAGTCTTTGGGATAAAAAAAATTGTGAAAAAATCAAATTTTTGAAAATGGCAATCTTTTTGCACTACTACACAAAATTTCTCTGCTTCCCAAATAATATTTTTGTCGTAGCATAACTTTATTTTGTCGAATCTTGCGCAATCACAGCCGAAGTTGAAGCTATAAAGGCACTTATTTCGCAAAACACAGATGCCGCTTCTCGCGTCGTAGCACGGACATCTTGGTGTCGTTTGAAAGAGCAATCTTTTTTCTTAAATTTCCCGCCAATCGCAGTTCTGTACTGCCATTGGCTTTCTGAAAATACCATGCCAAAAGAGTCCTAACGCAACCTCTCAGTTGCTGTTCAGCGCAGGTGATCTGAGCTCTGCATACGATTGGCAGATTTCTTTTC